GCTTCCTGTACAATCCATAATCTTCCAAAATCTTGAATAGAATATTGTGATGCACTGAAACATATCTTCTCGGCCAGTACCGTAAGAGGCCTACCTCAATTAAAAATGTTGCACAGATAGAAGGATGAACAAAATCAAAAGCAGGAACTAAATGAAGTCATTGAGGATGAACCCACAAGAACATATTTTGAATCCTCATTTTAAAGCTAATCAATTGGATTTCTTTTTAGAAAGAACTTCAAATCCATCAACACCCCTCTGAGCCATAGCTCAGGTACAAGTATTACATGTTTCATTTCATAAATATGTTTAAGTGAGTTTTAGGGGGGTGTATTGGTTTAGGATTTCGTAGGATTTTAGTTCAAAATTAACATTAAATTTTAATTTTTAATATTTCAATAACATTAAATATAGACTTAAAATTATTTGTAATATAACTTTTTTAATTTCTTAAAAAATTTATAAATATCTATGGATATCCATAGATATCCGTGAGTATTCAAGAAATTCATGGATACCCGCTTAATGGATAAGAAAGGTTGTGAGTATCGAGGGGGGAGAAGGGGCCAAAAGAAAGGTCCAAAGCAAATAACTGGAACCAATGCGCTGCTTTTTTCCTCTTGTTGCTTTTCTATATAGGATTCAGATTTGGTGTTTGTTGTTTTTGTTCTTGTTTGTATTCTTTCCATTACCTTGTATCAATTCAGGACCGTTGCAGATCGCAGAGAGAGAGAAGAAAACCCTTCGCTAACTTTGAAATCTTTTATATGCTTCATTCTGCTCTTGCATACATTAAATTAAAGTATGAGAGGTTAAAGTCAAGTACTCAAGTGTGAATTTCAGGCTTCCTGCTTTTCAATGGGGCCATGCCTGTTTCATCACCAAAATCTCATCTCTTCATGCCACAACTCTACAACTCTAAATTCTGCATCTCACGTATCTTTAATGAACTAAAATATTCTTAGGCACCATCTTGTATATATTGGTAAACTTTTTCAATACGAATAATACATTCTACCATAATGTATAGAACTAGAGAGAAAAGGAGATACTATAAAAATTTTAATCGTAATAAATTAATAATGTGATTAAGAGAGATAAACTAAATCTGTCCTTAGCTCTCGGGTGGATTCAAACACAAACGAATCAATGTGTTTTTGGAATCAAATTAATCCAAAAATATATATTATTGTAATTCTCTCATTACATTTATGGGTAAAAATGAGTTAAGTCAAATTTTAAATATATATATATTAAGATAAAATTAAAGTTCAAATTTAACGTATTATTTAGGCTTAAATATAATTTTAGTCCCTCAAATTTAAGACAAATTTATTTTTGGTCCCTCAAATTTAAAACTGTTATTTTTAGTCCTTGTAATTTTCAAAAATCTTGTTTTAGTCCCTTAAGTCACCAGTAACATATTTAAAAGTGACTAATTAAGACAATTATGCAATATCAACCGGATTTAATGTGATATTTTCACTAATAAGGATACGAATAAGTAGATTTTATGCAATAATGTTTGATAAATTTCTTAACAAAATTTGAATATAAGGACTAAAATAAGATTTTTTGAAATTACAGGACTAAAAACAACAATTTTAAATTTGAGGGACCAAAAACATATTTACGCTAAATTTGAGGGACCAAGAACATATTTAAGTCTATTATTTATCATAATTTTTTTTAGGTTTGATTTGATTTTTTTAAAAGTCTAATTTAATTTATTTAAATGTCTATTTTGCATCCATAATGTTATAAACATAATTTTAAATAAACTAACACATCTACCTTTAAATAAGCATGTGAATAGGGATGGCAATGGGGCCGCATGGGGGCGGGTAATAGTAAATCTGCCCCCGCCCCGCTATTCTTTTAGAATCCTGTAAAATCTTAAAAGTCATGAAAATCCTGCAAAGTCTTTTAAAATCCGCAGAATTTTTTTAACTAAAAAAGTCTTTTAAAATCCTAATCCAATACACCCCCTTTAGAAAGTATATATGTGTATTATTTTGGGTTATGTATTAAAAAAATTGTTGGTAAATAATTGATTAAATTGTTGGATTGCTCTTTATATCTTAATAAGTTATTTGGTTTAGTGGTGGATTGGAGTAATATGAATATGGCTTTAGGTTTAGATCTGGTCTCGTCATTGTAATTCTTATAAATAAATAAAAAATATTATAAGTAATTGGATTAATTATGCGTTAAAAAAATCAAATCAAATTAGATTCATTTCTTATAAATGAATTGGTTCATTTTTTAATAATAGTTCATTTATTTTTTAAAATAATTTGGTTTAGTGCAATTTGATTATCCACTTTATATTCAAATATGAATAGGTTTATTTTTTCTCAAAATAGTTTGCTTTTTATAATCCAATTTGCTTTGACTTTGACTTTTGGATTGATTTAGTTTGGTTCAGTTTTTTTCACACCCCTAAGAGATTTTGTCACTTTTAGTTCTGTCATTTTCTTAGTGTTATTTTTTAGTCCTTGCTATTATTTTAGTTAGTTTAATGTTTCCATGACTAATAACAAAAGAAAACAAAATATGTTAATTAAGAAAATTAAGGGAATTAACAAAAAAAATTATTTTATTATATTAGTGTTGACATGACTAACAAAATTAAAAATGTTAATTAAGATAATTATAGTATTATAAGGTATGTAATTTAATTTAGTAATGTATTTATTAATTTTTACAAAATAAGTTACTTACACATAATTTACTTTTATAATTCATTTTTATTTTTAATATATCATGAATAATAATTTTATTTTTAATTCCTCAATTTACTTTTACCATTGCACTTTTTTTAATTTAAAATGAGTGTAAGTTAATTAGACGCTTATAATTTGCTTTTCTAATGTTATTTTTACATTTCAAATTCATTAATTAAGATCGGTTACAATATAACTTATTTATTTAATATATCACAAACAGTAATATTAAAAATAATTTATAAGTGTTTAAGTAAATTATATTTTTTTTAAAAGATACGATGTTAAAAAGAAATTAGTGAATTGAAAAGTGGGAACAATATTAAAAAAGGAAAAATCATCGTTCATAAAAAATAATTATATGTAATTACTTTATTTATATAAAATAATAAATGCATTACTTAATTAATCATGCATCTAAAAATTATATAATTATCTTAATTTAAAGTATGTTTTATTATCTTAATTAATGTAATTAATATTTTTATTTTATTAATATGTCAGTACTAAACTAACTAAAATTAATGGTAACGAGTAAAAAAATAAAATAAAATGAACACTAGAGAATGTCAACAATTTGAAAATAACAAAAAGAAATACCAGTATTACAACAAGACAAAGTTATATTTGTAGGGACCTAAAATATATTTGTATAAGTTATTTTTCATCAAAATAATGTTGAATTTAATTATTTTTAATTTTATCTATATATTTCTTTAAACTTTTAGCATATAGAAAATAGCTCCATCCATTTTCGAAGGACCGGGTGTAGATTTTTTTAACTTAATTCAATTATTATGTTTCTTATATTTTCCAAGGTATCCTTTTGTGTGTGAAGGTATTAAATTACAAGTCAGATTAAATTTGTAAATCTTTTATCATATATGAAAAAAAAATTAAGCAAAATAGTTTGCAAAGCAATACATAATGCTATTTGTTACATGTTTAAAATTAAACAGCATTAAATTTCTATTTAAATCTTTTTGTTACATTTCTTATTTTAAAAATATAAGAATTACAATAATGACGACATAATTTGAATTTAAGACTTCGTATACACTATTTCGCTCTCATCACATTTTTTTTTTTTGTTGCATATAAAATTATTAGTATTCAAAATGTGCCGTCTTCATAAGAAGAATGATTTTATTTCTCATTATTAACCTAGGATTGTGGCTTATTTCCTAAAATATCAATGTTTTAAAAGTCAAAGTATAATTAGTAGACAAAGCATTTGTCTCGCACACTCTATAATGACAATCTTTTTAACATGTGTAACTGCTTTTCAGGATCATTTACTCTATCTAATCTTACAACTGTTATTCTAAAATCATGTCCGAAATTGAGTTCATTGTTTAAGGCATCCATAGCTAGAACTATGACTTCATTGGAAGAATTGATTATAGAAGATTGCGATGGTTTGAAGCACATACTAAGTCGTGAAAGAGCTCATAAAAATTAAAAGGAAAAGCTCGTTGAGAATGATCATAACTTCGAAACTGATATTTCAATGTTCATAAGTTTGAAAAGGCTGTATATCACAACATGTGACTTATTGCGTTTGCCACACATATTCTCCGTTGGAGGTCCGTTGAAATTGAAAGATAAAAGAAATAAAGAGACTCCTGATTCGAAATATTTAATTGGTCAAAATAATTTTGAAGACAACTCATGTCATCTTCAGCAAAGAAATACTCAAGTGAGCTTAGAGTTAGAAGATTTGTTGTTGGACAACCTACCTCAGATAACTTATATTTGGGTAGCTTCCAAGAATTCTTTCACCCTCCAATATCTTAAAACACTAGAAATAGTGGGATGTGCAAAATTAGAAGTAATTTTTCCTCTATCTGTATTAAGATGCCTACCAGAGTTAGAGGAACTAGATATAAGAGATTGCAGAGAACTAAAGCAGATAATGGAAGAGGATGTGGAGGATAAAAATTTGTCTTCACAACCATGCTTCACAAAACTAGGACATGTTAACGTTTCAAAATGCCCCAAGTTGAAAGTTATCTCTGTATCTGCATCTAATGATCTTCCCCGCCTGGAGCATCTACTCATATATGAAGCCAATGAACTAGAAAAGCTTTTTGGAAGTGAACAAGGAGCTTCCAAGATTTTTCTTTCCCTTCAAAACCTTAAAACATTACTGATAGTGGGATGCACGAAATTGGAAGTAATTTTTCCTCTGTTTGTATTAAGATGCCTGCCAAAGTTAGACATCTAGATATAAGAGATTGCAGAATACTAAAACAAATAATGGAAGAGGATGTGGAGGATAAAATTTTTGTCTACACAACCATGCTTCACAAAACTAGAAAAAGCTCGCGTTGAACGATGCCCCAAGTTGAAAGGTTTATTCTCTATATCTGCATATTCTAATCATAAATGGAGCCACTGAACTAGAAAAGCTTTTTGGATGTGAACAAGGAGCTTCCAAGAATTATTTTTCCCTTCCAAATCTTAAAACATTAGAAATAACGAGATGTGCAAAATTGGAAGTGATCTTTCCTTGGACAATTTTAAGATGCCTACCATATTTGGAGCGTCTAGAGATAATTGAATGTGAAGAATTAAAGCAGATCATGGAAGAGGACGTGCAGGATAAAAAATTGCCCTATCTTCTTTCTCCACAACCATGCTTCCCAAAACTAGCATCATTGTTTGTTGATCAATGCCAAAACTTGAAAGGTTTATTCTCTGTATCTGCATCTAATGATCTTCCCAACTTGGAGGCTCTGATCATAAATGGAGCCACTGAACTAGAAGAGCTTATCGGATGTGAACAAGGAAAAGGTGATGAGATAGGAAAGGCCAAAGTTGAGTTTTCAAAACTCAAACTTTTGATATTTATGCATCTCTCAACCCTTCGCCAAGGGACAGAATTCATGACTGTAAAGCATCGCTTTGTCCACAATTGTCCAAAACTATCTTTGGCTTCAACCAGTACTCTTCAGGAGCTTTATGAAAATTTTCCTTATTCAGGTAAATACTAAACATGCATTGCATGATTATGATTCAGATATAAATTGCACATAAATGTGTTTTAATTACAAAGAATGTTATAATAAAGATAATGATCTTTTAAGACATGGAGTTACCATCTTTTATTTTTTTCAACAATGAAAATATTTTTCCTGTCATGAAACTTTATAAATAACTTTATTTTTTATTTTTAATTGTGACGATACAATAGTCCACCATGGAAAGTTGAAGTTACATTCCTTTTTTGTTTCCATGTTTCATTCTCAAACGAAGTCCTTAAATTATTAATTTTTTTTTTACAGATTTCGAAAACACTACTGAACCTTCACGCTGGAACTTAAGCGGTTTAATTGATCAATTAATTGAATCTGATGAATTTTCTACAATCAGCGGTACCAGTGAGTTGCCTTCATCACAGGTCAGAAGCAACCAATCTATGCAAGTTAACCTAGCGAATGATTATGGCATCAAATCAGATAACTAATGATCAATTACTTAACTAAACCTTGACAGCAATATATATTCAATTGTCTCTATTTCTTATTTACAATTTCATTATTTATATGAAAAATTAACTTATTGAGCTACTCTTCTTTTTGTATATTTTTTATGTTGTTCAGGTTGATGAAAAATCAGAGAAGGGATTTATTGGGAATGTTCCAGGTTCAGAGGTACTACTACTGGATACTGCAACTTCAACAAATTCAGAGCTGAATGGAAGGTCATCCCCAAGTCCCTTGGATATTTGTCAATGTGGAACACATTCACATGTGAGTATACAAAAAGCTCTTCTAAATATTGGAGGAAGTGAATGGCTTAGGTTCTTACTTTTCCACTTAACTCATCACGTCATATAGGAGTTGGTGGATGGACAATCAACTGGTGGATCATATTTGACAGACCAACAAAATCCACTTGGAGAAACTGAAAGTATCATTGGAATTCCTCAGGTAAGTAATGTTATACCAATTAAATATGCACATTCTGCTAAATAATTTAACAAGAAATGAATGGTTAATATAAAAAGAAAAATGTTTTTTAAGAGGGCTATTTATCAAACAAAGAAAAATGTCAGTATTCTGTCCCCTGATTCAGTAACAACGACCATTGCTTGTTCCCTTACAGATGGTTTAAGGTTGATACGAATATTTTTCATTTCATCTTTTTTTATAATAAGAATGTTATTATACTACAAAGTTACATGTTTCGGATTTATGTAGGTTATTAAGAGAGGTGTGGACTGTAGAAGGAGGAATTTCATCAGATAATGCCATGACACTGAATCTCAAGTCATATATAATCAACTAAACATGGTTAAGAAGGGATTAGAAGAGCCACAATGAAAATTAGCTTACTAATAAACGTAGCTTTTAACATAGTAAAGTGTATTGACGAAACAGAGACAACATTTATTGGAAAAGTTCTAGCTTCAGTGAAACTAGCAATACCAACTTCTGTTTTAGAATCGAAAAGCCCACCTCTAACTTGTATGGCAACTGCTCTACATAAAATACTTTCGTGTAAAAGTTTAATAATTTGCTAACCTTAAAAACAGATTTTGTAATAGTAAGACTAACTTCTGAGTCCTGACATGCTTATTCAATATTTGAAATAAAAGTTGGTGCGTCAAGAATCAAATGACGAAGTAAGTTTTCCAGACCAACATGCACTTGAAGAAACAATTGTAACCACTAAAATCGCTCAAATTACTGTCATACCACCACATGATGTACATTATAAAATGCCCATCCTTTCAAAGCTATAACTTTAAAGTCACTCACTCAAACATATTTTTTCCATTTGTGATGCACAGAATACTGAGGACATTGGAAAGGAGATCATTCAAGAGGGACCTGTATCAGAGGGACTTAGGATAAAAACTATGCCGACTGTTATAGAAGGCATTGGATTGGGTGGTGGTGTTGCAACTCATACCGAGTCTAGTGGCGAGGACATACTTGCACAAGATTCCCAGGTTGTTGTTGAACAAGATGATAAGCTGAATGAAGGCAAGACAGGAACAATGCCATGTCAAGAAATCCAAATCGAAGAACGGTTGAACCTGACGAATAAACAAGATGGAATAGATATTGTTTCTAATAAGATCATTGCGGTTTCTCCGGGTTATTGCACTTTTCTTGTCTCTTTTCCCTCCCATATTTATATGTCACCTACTTCTTTAACTTTTTAGCAGCTTCTACTTCTACAGATACTCGTACAAGATTGGAAGCATATAAACAATTTGTTGATATGGATGATGCACAAATTGCTCTGCTGGTGGATGCAATAGCAACATATCCTCATCTCTGGAATGCTTGTGAGAAGTTCAGTGAGCGCTTTCAAGCTTGGTTGTTGAAAACTTTGGCAGACATTTTGTTCCTTCGAAATGAAAATGCCGATAGTGTTACTCCTCAAAGAGAAAAGGAGTTCCATAAACTATGCGATGAAGCTGCTGAACTTGGATTTGACAGGTCATGGGTTGATGAAATGCGTCAGCGTGTAGTTGCGAGGGATCCTAAGCTAGAAGAGGACCAAGCACAGGCACAAATCCATGATCTCTTTAAGAGGTATGAGATCATTTAACCCGAGAACTAAGTACCTTAAAGAAAAGAATGAATAAAATTTAGTCTTAATGACTTTGTTGATGCCCTGACAAAACTTTTCGTTTGTGAATTGAAAGTTCTACCTCTACATTGTGGTTGGGTGGATTTTCTGTTTTCTCCTTAGAAATACATTTTGGTGTTATTTGCAATTCTTCTAAGAATGATACTGAAATTTTCTGAGTTTTATGTTCCTTGGGATGCAAAAGGTGAGCAATTTAAGTTTGTTATGCAGGTCTACTGGTGCATACGTGGTATCAGATTCCAAGGTGTTTGAACAAGGTGATAGGCAGATTGAACACTCGAGAGGAACTTCTCCACGTCAGAAGATCCCAAATGTTGATAAGAGCATCAAAGAAGGATCTAACTTGATTGATAAAGAAAGTGAAATAGGTGTTGTTTCTAATGACCACATTGTTGCTCCGAGAAATGAAGAACCAGAGAAGGAATTTGTTGCAAAAGAATCCACTTCAGAGATACAAGAAATAGCAACACCACTGACTAACACACAACTTGTTGAAGGCCATCTCCTAGTTATTTGGATCTCAAAATAAAACACACTCAAATGTGAGTCTCCTTAATCTTTTTCAAAGTATTGAATGAAATAAAAGCATTGAGACTAATGCTTTGACACTTATTCATTACTTTGTTTAGGAGTTGGAGAACAGACAATCGATGAGTGGAGAAATTGTAAGTACCGCTGAAATTCCTCAGGTAAATGATGTGATACCGCGTAAGAATGTAGCGGGAAAATAATAGTTGTACTATTAGAAACAAGACAATCAGAAGACTGAAAAAAGTAACAATAATTTATTAATAGAAAAGAGCTAACACCAGCAAAGAAAACACTGATTTTTTAAAACTATAATTAATATGCATCTCCACTTGGCATCAATAACACTGCTGGTACATCTTAGAAATAGATGTCAAGTTTACAACTTATTCTCTTTATTGTGCTACATAGTGACTCGAAGAAACACAGGATTTAAGTTGGCGCTAAATTAGAGAAAACTGTAACTACAACTTTACAGAGTAATTCAGATACGAGGAACTCAACAGCAGCATCAATACTTGCTCCTCTTCAAAAGGCATCCCGCTGATGTTTATTCTCATTTTTTCAAAATGGAAATGCATACACCAAAGTTACATATCTTTTGTTCTTGTGCAGAGTGTTATGAGAATTGCTGAAGATGGAACCATATCAAAGAACACCAATATGGCAGCTTCATCAAAGCATTCCAAATTCTTTAGCTCAGAGTCAGCCCAATTAGTTACTTCTGAAAGTAAATCATATCCACGTGTAAGTCTGTTGCATACAATTGACCTTTCAAAATATTTGGTCAACATAAAAACAATGTTGCCCTCTGATTTATTATTTACCATATGAGTGGAATATTAAAATGTGATGTACTGAATTGCAACTTAGAGTTTAAATTTCATGAATTATTTACAATCACGATTCACACTCATAGTTTAGCTCCTAATTCTTGCACTTCAATCCAAATTTGTAGTAAGAAACTGTTGCTTTGCAACTCTTGTGGATTGATGATACTAACTACTTTTCTGTTATATTTTCTTCTTATTCTTCCCAGAGTGAAACTAGGAGCAGCCAAACTGAGACACACACTGCTAAAGAAAGTGAAGGCCATCCTAGAAAAATTCAAGATTTTGGGGCCAATGATATGATGAGTTTATTTCAACCAGTGGCTGTCGAAAAAGATGGTGAAGGCCAAGTAATTGAGCATCACTCAACTAAAGATAACCGAGTTTTAAAGGCCCTTGCCGACCTGGAAAAGTGTCTAAAGGTGTCTCTGAAGGACATAGCTATCTCTGAGACTAATAGTCTCTGCCTTATGGCTGCTCTTAACTTCTTGTCCAACCTTCCTTTCAAAGAAGTAACTCTATCAGATGGACTCAGAGATATTATAGACTCTATGCACAAAGAGTTCCCAAGCATTCTATGTTCCTTCAAGCAAGGCTTTGCTAACTCTGACAAGTTGGCAGTGCTTGAAGCTCATAGGAATGAGGTAACCATTACACTTGTTGCCAATATTTCTGGGGCAGAGAATTTGATAAATGAAGCTCAAGAGAAGGAAGGAGTTTTGAAGGAACGGGTGATTAGGTTGAAGAAAGAAATAAAAGATTGCGAGAATGAGTTGTCATCTCTTGAAGTGGAAAAGAAGAAATGCATTGCAGAAAGTAAAGGGTATAAAAAGAAGCTTGAAAATATGAGGAAAGACAAAGCTCAAATGGTGGAAGATCAAAGTGAAGTTCGGGAAGAGCTATTTGAGGTGGCTTATAAATGGTCTGCACTATGTAGCCAATTTGAGCACAATTGCATCGCTTCTAGAAATACCTCTTGAGCACGTTCTTCTTCTTTTTATAGATTATATATATATATATATATATATATATATAA